AGACAGTGTCACTAGTGTTTTATGTCTTTGATGAGCTAGTCGGTTGTGCCCAATGCTCCAGGCTGATAGTTGCTTTACTCATTTGGGCCTTCACGTTGTCCCTGAAAGTCATGATTACCACAAGCAGTACGTTAGCGACTCTAGAACGGCCTGGAAGTGAATTTTAAGTTCTTATTTTCAGGCTTGGATGTTATATCTTTTCTTTTATATGTATGTTACAGTAACTATTCAAACAATGGCAAATGAAATGGCAGAACAATGATGTTCCTTGTCAATGCTTTATATGATAACCAATTTTCTTTGAATTGTTAATTGCCCCTCAAGGAGCTCAAATATGAAAGCAGTTGTAGAACATCCTCTCAAGAATATAGAGAATTATCAAGTCAATACAAGAAATAAACAAAGGCCACGAAGAGGTGACTGAATTAAGTTAATTAACTTCAGTTCAGAAGTTTCACTTAGTTCAATTTCAACATTTTCCTTATGAATTATAGACTCCATTCTCATTTGAGTGTAATCAGTGTAATTAAATACGTTATGGTACCTGCCCCATATTACCAAATATAATGACACGTTGTAATGATTCTTCTTCAGGACGCGGTGATGACTTGAATGAATGGCTCTTGGTCCAATTATATGACCGATTAAACAAGCTATGATCGGTTCTGTACGTGTACCTGCGGAAACCAACGTGTCAAATCGTTAGAGTGCATGATTGAAACAAACAGCGTTTGGCCATAAACTTGGTAGGAAACAAGTATTAAAGAAACTAGTATATTACGCCAATCAACAGTGCGTGCAGGTGCATCTTAAATATTAAAAAATATAAAAAATAAATAAATAAATGTCAAGCCAGTGTTTTGTCAGAATAAAAGAGGAACCACACTACGTTTTGCGGCGTAAATATCTCACAACTAGAATCGAAGAAAGTCATCGATCCATTCTGAAAAGTCGTCTAACTACCTTTCTAAAAGAACTGTAAATATTCATGTCTTAATGAGATAGTGAAAGAAAGCCATTGTAAGTGCTCTACGAAGCCACTTAGATGGAACTGCCATTTCTAGGTGAGTAAGCCGAAAGCTCAAGGACAAGGATGAGAAATTCAGATTTTGACAAGTTGACTAATAAGGCATAGCCTCTGGTTCTAAGTAAATTACAGAATGGAAGCAGAAATTTTTTGACGTGGCAGCAACATAAATACCTAGAGTGACTTGCAGCAAGGTGATCTAATGGGTCGATCATGACAAATTAATTCTCTGATGAACTTGCGTTATTTGCAATTGTTTGATATTAAAAATGAACTAAAATCAAACTGCAAGTGAACAGTAAATACACACATACAAGCGGAAGTTATCAGTTGAACCTTTTTGAAACAGTCTTCCATTAAAGGTTTAAAATTAAGGACTAAACAGTTTCATTCAACTAACAGCTTATATTTTTTTTTTTTTCAATAATATTAAGTTGTTAAACAAGAAGGTGCAATCTAGACTGATGAGTTGATCGAAATAATCATACCACTTATGCTGTTCCTACTAAATGCTGGAGATTTCGTCTGTATCTCTCCTTCTAGACCCCATTTAACGAAAGAAATAGCTTCATTTTTATCGTACCCGCTTGTCCAGGTTACTGTCGTCTGCAAAAATGAAAAGAATTCCATTGTTCTGCCGCTAAGCTACTTAAATCTTGCTAACAACTATAGAACATGTATTTTTCTCACATATGTTGGCAGCAAATAGGAGTGTCAATTTTGAAGACATTTGTTAACACAAGTTAGCAATGAGTAGCCAATTAATTGACATTTTATATAGTTTTAAGGTCACTAAAGGAAATCAGATTAGGACAAGAAGTTCTAGGACTGTGGTTCATTATTGACTTCTTTTAGTAACCTCTATAAAAGCTTTCCCACAATAAAATGAAAGGAAATACAAGGAGTTTGTTCAAATTAGTTTGGATTTGAGTACTTTGCATAATTGAACTGAAAATAGATTATTTGGAGAAGAAATTCGTATCATTATTTCATTTCAAGCATTATAAAGGCATATATTTGGCATTCACGTCAAAGTTGATGTTACTAGTTAAATTCTGAACTATGACAGACTGATGAATGGAGTTTGAACCCTATTATTTGAACTAGGACAGGCTGATGAGCTGCCACAAAGAAACAGAGTTCTTTTACGACTTGTAACAATTTTCACCATCATAACGAGATCATTATCATTGATTTAAAGCTAAAAATTCTAAAGACGAACATTTATAACTTAATTTTTACTTAAAAAGATGCACAATACAAGTTTTTTGTATACTAAATCATGGAATAAGAATATGTCACATACTTGAACATCGCAGGAGAAAACACTGCTATCCAATCCCCCGCTCGGTATCCTCGACCTGAAAATATACATTTAAACCGAATAAACAAATAAACAAAAACTCATAGTGAAAATTACACTATCTAGGAAAAGCACAATCCACGATGCCGATAGAAAATCAAATACGAAGAGAAGTGCCAGTTAGGACCATATTTTCTGAACTAAACAAGCAAACTGAAATGACGGAAGAAATGTTATACAAGTCAACGTAGAGAGCAAGGAGCAACTTAAAATCAACTAATAGTTAAGCAACTCCGGTATCCAGCTACTGCAGATCAGTAGAATATATCGGCAAAGCATAATCCGGCTACTGCAGATCAGTAACACTCCGTAACGATGCAGAAGGAAAATCAGATGTGAAGAAAAGTGCCGTTCAGGACTGTATTTTCTAAATTCATACACGCAACTTGAACTGTTGAAGGAAATATGAAATCAACACAGAAAGTACAAAGAATCACGGAAAGAACCAGTGAATAACTAAGCAACTTGCATCCCCAGCTTTCTCGTCCAGGAAACATTAAATTGAAACAGAATCAACAAATAAGCAAACATTTTAATCGAGAGAGTTGAAATATCCAGAAATAATATATAATCTGGTAACTGCAGTTCAGTAACCACTCCATGACGATGCAGATGAAAAATCAAACGAGAAGAGTACAGGGTAAGAATCTAGAACCACGCTTTCCGAATTCATACAAGTAAAAACTAAACTGACTGAAGGAAATATTAGTCAGCACAGAAAGTAAGAAGAATATTCTTAAATACCGAACTAAGCAAAATCATACAGAAGTTAGCAATTGCATAATAAACAACAGAAGACGGCATGAGAATGCAACTGAGTAGAGATACTTACGTACAGGCCAAGAACAAGCGGCGAGGCTCTACTGGAGACCGCATTTCGCAGCGACAGAATAGCCTTGTATGCATCAATTTTGGAGAGTTGTTCATCGAGCAAATGACTAAGCGCAGGGAAGGCGATACAGTGAAGAAAGACGGTGAGGAATTGAAGGCTTCGAATTCAAAACTCCCGCCATAGCAGAAACTTGGTAGTTGATGATTGGGCCAATAAAATAGAAGTGAGGCCCTCGGACTAAAGAAGGCGGGAGGTCGGGATTGAAGGAAGCAAGACCGTTTGGATTCCTAAAAACGTCGTATTTATAGTCAATGCGCACACTCTCTCTTACATAAAAATTTAAAATAAAATAAAATAAAAAACTGAAGAAATTATTTAACGCAATTAAAAAGGAAAAAGATATTTAGTTAGTTTTAGAAATCTTTAAATTATTACATAAAATATATATATATATATATATATAAAAAGTGCAATAAATTATATGGAGAGAAACTAATAAAAAAAAATGCAAGCTTAAAAAGAGAGAAAATATATGAAAAAAGTGATTGAGAAAATACATTGAATGATTTAACTACGCTTTTTTTATTATTATTATTTTATATATCATGAAAAAAGTAGTTTGAAACACACGATAATAGAAGGGAAAGTAGGACATGATTTATAAGAAGAAACAGAGGGAAAGGCTTAGTTGGAGGGCATCATACACAAATCATTGTCCTAACTACAATAAAAGGCAACAGCTACACTCCATACGCATATGGATGAATGGATATTGGAGTAAAACCATATAAAAATATTTAGTTTTTAAATTTCAAGCCAAGGAGACAAAGGGATACCAACAATTTCCCTCACTTCCACCCTTCTCCTCCTGTTTTTTGTGGGTCATAAATGTCTTTTACTTACTCCTCCTACAAATAGCCCTTTTCTGATTCCACGTGTACCCATCCCTAAACATACTATTTTTATATGGATTATAATTGTAATTAGAATAATCCCACTCCCAACCGAAAAAACTGATATTAATTGGCTATAAAAAAAAAAAAAAAAAAATATTTATTTTTTAAANAAAAAAAAAAAAAAAAAAGATATTTATTTTTTGGGGGCTGTGATCATGGAGTGTGATGGTCGACGTGTCAAGCGTGTGAGGCCACGAGCCAACAAAGAAAAAGGGAGAAAAAAAGGGGGACCCACTGAATAAACGTCCCAAGTGGCAAAGTCAGTGAACCCACAATTACGGTCAGTGGTCAGCCTCACTGGGGGCGCCCATCCCACGTGCCAACCCCTACCCTTCCCATTGCGTGGTTTCTTGAGATAGAAAGTGGAGTGAGTGCTCCTTTTTCCTCTTTTGTACTCTGCCCCGACATTTGGTTGCCCTACCAATAAAGCTAACCTCCCTCCTTATTTCTCATCTTATTAACGTAATCCCTCCCTTATTTTTTTAATTAAACAAAATCTTTTAACTCATTCACCGCACGTGCCACCCTAATTATTACCCCCTCCGCCTTCTCAGTTCTAACACTTGGAAAAATACAGTCAAATGATTCAAAATGTAAAATATATACTTTATAAGATGCTTAAAACAAAACTATGCTCTTAATTATCCAATTACGTGATCCGTTATTTTTCTCCCATAATGGGCCGCCTCTTCGTAACGGAATTCATTCCACTCTTCTCTTAGGCCAGAATCATGGGGAAATAGAAGGGATGGGTAAGACCGTAATTTCGCCACCAATTTTGTTATATATATAGGTGCAAGCTTCTGCCACTTCCTTTCAGAGAGTCTGTTTCCATTGTACTAAGAAAAAGGAAAGGGAAAAGGAAAAACAATCTCCCTTTTTATTTGTTTCTTCACAAATGGAAGATGAAGATCAGAAGGAGTTGCAGCTCCTTCCGACGCCTCACTCCATAGCGTCGTCCTCGTCGTCCCGTCCATCCGACTCGTCGTTACGATTCCGGTCCGATCTGTTGGAACCGGTACAAGGATCCGTGGACCTGCAATTGTCGATAAGCCTGAGGCCAATCCGGCCGGCGGCGGGGGCGGAGTGCTTGTTGAAGTACGAGGAGGTGATGAAGCCGGAGGCGGCGAGCTGCGTGGAGGCGCTGAAGTGGCAGGCGGGGGAGCAAATTAGGCTGGCGGCGATGGAAAAGGCGTACGCGGAGAGGGTGAGGGAGCTAACGAAGAGGGAAATAGAATTGGCGCAAACGGAATTCGCGAGGGCTCGACAGATGTGGGAAAGGGCGAGAGAAGAAGTGGAAAAGGCGGAGCGGACGAGAGAGAGAGCCACTCGACAGGTGGACTCTACGTGCATGGAGATCACTTGCCAATCTTGCAGGCAGAGGTTTCGGCCTTCTTAATTTTTCTGTTTATGATTAATAATGACTTCCCTTATATAGCTCCTTATTAAGCCTTATAATGCAGGGTTTGTTTTAACTCATCTCTGCCTCCCTATTATTTCTTTTCCTTAAATTTAAAATAATCCTTTCAAGTAAGAAATAATTTGTATGATTATAATGTATTAATACCCTGATGGTGAAGATGGTGGTGTATATATATGTATGTATGCATTTATTAAATTGGCTTTTGTTTCTTTTATTATTTTAAATTTATTGTTTTAAATTTATTATTTTAAATTTATTATTTTATGCATGTATGGGAAAATAAAAAGGATGTTCGAGTAATAATTTGTTGGTGATGAAAGGTTTAGAGTAGAAACAAAAGGGGAGATTACAGTAATTTGAAATATTGAAGGAGTAAGAAGAGCAGTGAAATTGAGAGGAAGAAGGCAAATGAATGGGAACAAGAAGTGAGAAGAAGAAGACGGGAAGATAGGAGTAGGGATTTTGTTTCCAAGTCCTTAGACTTTACCGCGCATTGAAACCAAGCACACTGCACAGACATCCCCACTACCATCACTGTCTGAAAGACTCCTCATTTCATTTCATTTCATTTCATATCCTCATAACCCTCACCCTATTACTCCATAACTATTATAACCTCTCATCAGAATGTGTGCTGTTTCCAAAACCAACCAACATATATATTATTAATTGGGAGGGAGTTTGGAATATTGTTGATGGTGGTGGTGACGGATGCTAAATTTCCAAAAATGTCAACCTTTTTACCCTTCTCTTTCTGGGTAACAGAGAAAGGGAGAGAGAGAGATCCGATGGTGTTGTCATATCAAACCCCGAAGGGAAGGGAAAAGGAAGCTTTCATTTGAAGCTACAAAAGTTGAAAGAATGAGGTATTATAATGGTGAGTGGGACTCGCCTCCTTTCAAACTCTTGTTCAACTTTTAACACATATATACATATCAGAATTGATGATCCAACCTTCCTTTTCATCTTACTGATCCCTCACCCCTCCAACCTTTCCCCCTTCTTCATCCTTCATGGATGTTCCTGTTTCGCAAATCCCACATCAACAAGTTGGTTGCTTGAATATCAAAACAGGTTTCAGTTGTTGATGGAAGTGTGTGCTTTTTTATCAATCTCATCATGCAGAGTACAATCTAAACAAATGATTCAGTACCATCTAAACAAATGAAGATCTAAAACAAGTGGTGAGACCCACCACTTAAAAGGGTCATGGGATCAACCTAAGGGAAAAAATCAAGTACATAACAATTTAAAGAATTCAATCAGGTCGTTCACGAAGAATCTTGTAGTGCTACTCAGTTTCTCATTCTCATTTCCAACCTGTAAGCATGGCCCGAGTGTGGTAAGAGGGAGCTCAAAAGGGGATTAATTAGATAGAAGCAACTCTTATAGCATTGTTTATGAGATAAAGCAAAAGAACACTGATAAAACAAACTAAAGAAAAGGAACAAAAATGTACATAGAGCGAAAAGGATAAGTTATTCCTATTAGTATTTGGATCTTCCATCTCCCTCTGTGATCACATCTTTGAAAGCACCACCACTGGGAATCATCGGCAGCACATGTTCCTGATGCGGTACAATCACGTCCAACAAGTAAGGCCCTTCGCTCTCCAGCATCTTCTTTATTGCTGCTCTTAAATCTGCCCTCTTTGTCACCCGTGCCGCCCGCACCCCGCACGCCTCTGCAAACTTCAACATGTTCGGGAATATCTCAGACTCATTTGATGGATCTCCCAGGTACGTGTGAGCTCTGTTGGCTTTGTAGAACCGATCCTCCCACTGCACAACCATGCCCAGATGCTGGTTGTTCAGCAGTAGGATCTTCACCGGAAGTTTCTCGACACTGATCGTGGCCAGCTCTTGGATGTTCATCATGAAACTACCGTCTCCATCGATGTCAACAACAACCGCGTCCGGATTTGCAACCGCTGCCCCCATGGCTGCAGGCAGTCCAAAGCCCATCGCACCTAAACCACCGGAGGTTAGCCACTGGCGTGGCTTCTTGTACTTATAGAACTGAGCTGCCCACATTTGATGCTGCCCCACCCCTGTGCTTATGATGGCCTCACCGTTGGTTAGCTCATCAAGAACTAGAATTGCATACTGTGGAGGAATGGCCTCATCAAATGTCTTGAAAGTCAATGGATATTTTGATTTCTGCTCATTCAGCTCCTCCCTCCAAGCAGAGAAATCGAAGTGAAGCTTCTCAGAATTCTCAAGTAAACGATTCATTCTCTGCAAGACTAACTTCACGTCGCTGCAGACTGATACATGGGGCTGCTTGTTCTTCCCAATCTCGGCCGAATCAATATCCACATGAACAATTTTCGCCCGGCTCGCAAAGGCCTCAAGCTTCCCTGTCACGCGGTCATCAAATCTCACTCCAAACGCAAGCAACAGGTCAGATTTATCCACAGCATAGTTAGCATAAACTGTCCCGTGCATTCCCAGCATTTGCAGAGACAAATCATCGGAGCAAGGAAAAGCCCCAAGGCCCATTAGAGTGCTGGCCACCGGAATCCCAGTGAGCTTGACGAACTGCCGCAACTCCACGGATGAATTCAAACACCCCCCACCCACGTAAAGAACAGGCTTCTTCGATTCAGAGATTAATCGCACAATTTGTTCCAAATGGTAATCCATGGGAGGCTTAGGTAACCTAGACAAGTAACCAGGTAATTTCATGGGCTGATTCCAATTGGGAACCGCGAGCTGTTGCTGAACGTCTTTAGGTATATCAATAAGAACAGGACCAGGTCGACCAGAAATTGCGAGGAAAAATGCCTCGCTCACGATCCTAGGAATGTCTTCTACATCAAGAACCAGATAGTTGTGCTTTGTAATAGAGCGTGTTACCTCAACAATGGGAGTTTCCTGGAACGCATCGGTACCGATCATTCTCCTCGGAACTTGCCCTGTAATTGCTACCATGGGAACGCTGTCGAGTAGGGCGTCAGCGAGTCCACTGACCAGATTGGTGGCGCCAGGGCCGGAAGTTGCAATGCAAACGCCGGGCAGGCCGGAGGACCGAGCGTATCCCTCCGCGGCGAAAACGCCACCCTGCTCGTGACGGGGGAGAACGTTACGGATGATCGAAGATCGCGTGAGGGCCTGGTGGATCTCCATGGACGCGCCGCCGGGGTAAGCGAAGACATTGGTAACGCCTTGGCGCTCGAGAGCCTCGACGAGGATATCGGCGCCTTTTCTCGGTTCATCGGGAGAGAATCGGGAGACGAAAATCTCAGGGGAGATGACGGAAGTTTCGACGGAAGTGGCAGAGGCGGCGGTGGAGGAGGGCTTGGGGGAAGGGTTGGAAAGAGAGCTGCTACAGACGCGAAGAGGGCGGAGGAAAGTGGGATTGTGAGGAAGAGGAGAAAATGAAAAATGGAAGTTGGAGAAGGGTTTAGGAAGAACGGAGGAGGAGGATTTGGAGAAGGATTTGGAAGCGCAGGGGTGAGTAGCCGCCGCCATTGATGACATTGGAGAAGGAAAGAGGCGGTGAGGAGGGAGCAGCGAAATGGTGAAGAGTAGTGGTGGTTCGTAGCGGTTCGGAGCAATCTCTGAAAGGATTTATACTCAACCACGCCTGGGTTTTTTTATTAGCACTCCATATCAGTAAAAAAGAAAAAAAAAGTAATTTCTTTACCCTACACTTGGCATCAAATTCTTTTATTTATTTATTTATTCTGAAAAGTCATAGACTAGCCCTATGGCTACTGATAGGATTGAATATTAAGACTTCTGCGGTTAGGTGATACCAACGGCTGGTGTTTATTTATTCATTTATTTGACATAAGTTTTAGCAGTTTTGTTTGTCACGTGGATTTGAGTTTTTTGTTTTTTAAGGGTACTTGTGCAGTGAGTTTTAAATGGTGATGGGTTGTATTGGAAAATTAGAGGATAATGCAATTAGTTTTGTGGGTTTAGGGTTTATAAGATTAGAAAAATGGGAATTAGTTTGTCTTTTTGCCCCTTTCTTCTCCCTTACACCTGTCCGTTCGAAGGGGTAGGTTCCTATTCCAAAAAATTCAGCGTGGAAAACGTTCCCAACCCTTGATATTTTATTTTATTATTTTACCTGTAAGAGAAGAGAGCATTCAGTGTATTATGTTTCTTGTCATTTAGTTTCCAACTTGAAAGCTCCGTAAGTTACCGAAATATTAGAAACAAAGCTCCAAAGAACCATAATCGTTTACCAACCTCGTTTATTGAGATGTACAGTCAAAGCATGCATGCACTTGAAGCAGGACGGGTTGCTGTCATGGCGCCATGGGTCATCATCAGAAACCTACAAATCTAGATACAAAACCGGTTGCACCACTCATGTCTATATCAAAAGAAGATGAAGAGGTGAATGAATGGCATGCAAAGTAGAAAAAATGTGTTGAAACAGCAGCACGTTAAGAACAGTAAGTAATGTCAATTCCACGACATGTAGTTCAAGTTTATACAACTTTCTAAGTTAACCTCATTTGAAAAAAATAAGGAAACATAAAAGAAAAATACACTTCCTTTTACGCCATGGAAAAGCATCATCAGTTTTTTCCCCCTTCATTGCACCACACAGCAGGATCATCATCATCATCTACACACAAGAATTGCTTACCTTACCTTACCTTAGCTGCAGGGAAACAAACATCAGAATCAGAACCTGTTCTTGAAGACGGAAGGAAAAGCTAAGAATGACAAAAACAAGTTGGACATAGTTTCGAATATCAGTAATTGGTTGGTCCTAACATGGAAAACATACAGCATATATGTGATATACATATATGTTCAGATCAGAGTGTAGCTAAAAAGAGGTTGGCCTTATAATTAAATCTCTCAATTTAAGAAGACCAAACAACCATTTCTCTTCTGCTACTCCCTACTCCGTGCATAGGGAGAAGTATTTCCATTCAGAACAGAACAGAAGAAGCATGGGACATGTTTTTCCTTTCTTTCTCTGGAACCAAACTGTAGCTTGTATGGAGAATTCTCCATGTTTCTACACATCAAAACCATCTAACTACAGAAGCTCACAATATGATGATTTCACCAAATCATCGTGGCCCAACTAAATTTGAAATGCCTCCAAAACTAGACCAAACTATTTCATTTCAACACCTCCACAAAAGTATCCTCTCAATTTTATGAGTACAACATTTGGTTGGTTCATTCCAAGATGCCCTGCAATATCAGGGAAGAAACCAAGAAGAAGAGGAGTCATAATCCTTCTACGACCTCATTCATCCCTTCATTTGAACCCACTGATCCCTAGTTGCCACACAAACCCAATTACAAACAAATTTTGATACTCTAACATACACATGGTGAAAGCCTCATTTGTTGAGCTCTACCAACTTCTTTCAAATTTTTCAATGAAAGCTCTCTCTCTCTCTCTCTCTCTCTCTCTATATATATATATATATATATATATAGAGAGAGAGAGAGAGAGAAGCAAAACAACAAGATAACCTGTCACGACCATTCTCATCCAAAGACCTTCACAACCATTCTCACCCTATGCTATTGTTATTAATGTGAAAACTTTTGTTTCAGTAAGAGACAGAGAGATCTTCGTTACGTGAAAAAAGAAGATACAAAAGAAGGGTGAAGCTACTGATAAGATAGTTGCCGGGAAATTCATACATCGGAACTAAAAAGAATGTCAAGCAAGCAAAGGCCAAAGGAGATGGTTATTTTTATAAGGTTGAGATTCATCGAAGAAAGGAGAAACTTTTCCAAAAATTATTAGAAAGCAAAATCCGAAGATGAAGCTTTAAACCAAACCATTCCCAAGAGACGAATGAATTCAGATAGAATCATGAGAACCACTCAACAAATCAGCACGTTCTTGCCGGGCGATTACTCGGTCAGGAAAAAGGAAACGAACAAGCATGCAATCTCCCGATAAAGGAAGAAGTGAATATGAAATCGGGTAAATCGCGAAAAAGTAAGAATTCAATTCATCCTGATCACGACACAAATCTAGATAGAACACAAGATGAAGCTTAACAATTGAATCTTTAATTGTGCCTTAACGACTCGAATCGCACAAACACCTACCTCTGACCATCAAGATTGCCCTGCCCGCTGTTGCCTCCACTGGCGTAAGAACCGTCCTCCGCCGAGGGCTGCCACGTCGACTGCCAGGCCTGTGACGGCGGCTGAGCGTAAACTCCGATGGGATCCATTGCCGGTCTCCCAATCATCATCCCCCCGGGAGCCCCTGCCGGTTGACCCATAGGGGGGTAATAGTAGGGCACTCCACTAGCAGTGGCTCCGACCATGCCTCCCAATCCAGCTTCGTCCTTGATTTCATCTCTAGGCACAATATCAACTAAGAAATCAAAGATATCGGTCCTCGTGATGGCAGCCGCAATATCGTTCTTCTGCAATGTCCGCCTCTTATTCTCCTCCGCGTGAAGCCATGACCTAATAGTGAGTTCCAGAATGAAGAGCTCGCAGGCCTTGGCGAACAAAATGGGCGCTTCGGCGGAGATCATACGCACGTCCTCGTCGGCTTTCATGATCTTCTTAATGCGAGCCAAAGGGAGCTGGTGGTTTTTAAAATCGTTAACCTGTTCGATTTCTTGGCGCTGAAAGGACCAGAACATCTGAAGCTGCTGCTGCTGCTGCTGGAGGAGGTGGTGGAAGTGAGGGGCCGGGACGGGTGCCTGAGGAGGAGGAGGAGGAGGAGGGTAAGGGGAGGATTGGGCTTGATTGTTGTTCTCCATCAGCCGGCAAAGGCGGAGGTTCAAGTGTGGGCTAGCCAAATGCTGGAGGGATTTAATCGGAGAATGGTGGGACGGAGTGATGAAAAAGATCGGAGGAAGGGATTTGGGGAACAAAAATGTGAGAAATTTTTCAAGTGGTGAAGATGGAAATTTAAAGGGTGAGAGACACACACACAACTCCAATAAATGTTGAGATAAGGTAATAGCCTTCAGGATTCGTTTCCCTGCCTCCACCTCTGCATTATAACACTTTTAAATATATTCTTTTTTAATATACCGTCAAACAAATAAATATATTCTTTTTTAATATCTAGAAATGTAATGCGCACTTTTTCGTGTATTTGAGTTGCACCACCAAGGTTTTGTAATGTACTTGGATACACACACAAACAACCGTATATAGTTACAGTGGCTGTCCATTTCTAAAGTCTAAAATGCACTTAGTTGTGCGTTGAGGATCTTGTAGTAAGGGAGGATCTCATGTCCACAATCGCAGATTCATCTGCACCCAGCTTGATGGCCTCTTTGCTCGCTCTTATGAACCTCGAAACAGCTCCTTTACTGTACTCGTGCGCTTCCTTAACGCTCATCTTCTCGCTTATTTCATTAGGGAAGCTGCTCAGGAAATGGTCGCCCTTCAGAACAGCAGCCAACTGAACTACTTCGCTTTGGAACTCAGACAGTCCACTCCTTTCATTCGCTTCTGTTTTCCTCAATGGTGTCACTTCAGGCAGCGTCACTGCCATTGATGATTGCAGTAAGCTTATAACTCAACTTAACTCAACACTATGTTTGTTTATGTTTGTTTGTGAAAAATGATGTACCTGGGCAGTCGGTTCTTGGGGAGCCTAATTGCCCCACAACGTCCTCAAATGTGGCAGCCCATGCATCTCTGTGAGTGAGGAAGTTAGAGGAGAGATTGAATATTTTCTTTATGGTAGCAGGGATTGAGGAATGCTCAAACTCTGAGTTTGGTGTAGGACCCTTCGGACTGCTTAGTACTGCAAAACAAACACAGATTTAGATCAATAATCACGGCCAACTCCCACCGCTAACAGATATGCTCTTCTTTAGGCTTTCTCTTTTGAGCTTCCCTCAAGACTTTTAGAACACGTGTGCTAGGAAGAGATTTTCACACCTTTATAACCCTTCTGTTAGCTTATGCTCAAAGTGGACAATATCATACTATTGGGGAGAGTCGTAAGGGACTTGGCTTACCCGTGCCTTTCTTAATCCAAGGCGAGACCATAATTGTAGGCACACGGACTCCGAGCCGATCGAACTTGAAGAAATAAGGAGGGGGGCCTGTGTTGCCATCAGGGTTAGGGACATTGACAAAAGGAGTATTGACATGGTCAAAAAATCCACCGTGCTCATCGTAAGTGATTATGAACAGTGTCTGGTTCCACTGTGGGCTAGACCTCAGAGTCTCATAAACCTCCTTCACCAGCTTTTGCCCATTGGCAACATCATGAGAGGGGTGATCATCATTGGCTGGCATTCCCACAAGATCAAAATACCGTGGCTCAATCACCGTTAAGCTGGGGAGCTTCCCATTTCTAGCATCCTTCTTGAACTTCAAATCGTACTGATGAAACTTGAAAATATACTTCAATTTCCTCAAGTTTCTATAAAACAGAGTTGTGGGTATGTTCTGGAAGTAGATTCCAAAGTTGAGGCCGTTCTCGTGCAGTGAATCAAAAATGGTTTTCTGGGGATATCCCTGAGCCAATTGCTTCTTCACATGGCTGGTTGAACCATGAGAAGTTGCAGAGTAAACGAAGAGCCTATTGGGTTGAGTTGGGCCAGGAATTGAAGAGAACCACCGATCAAACACTGCAAATTCACGAACCAAAGCTCCATAAACGGGGACAGCTTCAGGGTTGAAGCCTTTCATGACAGTCTGGGAGAGATTTGGGGACATGGACAGAGCCTGTTCTACAAAGCCAGACATGGAAGGAATGGAATTAGAGCCAAATACCTGGTGTAAAACTGCTTCAAATGAATGCCCCGGATCCGGATCTACAAACTGGGCGTCGTCGGAGAAGCAAATGGTTTGAGGGTTGGGATTCTTGGTTGAAAGGGGGTTGCATTCATCGCCAGTGACGCCGTTGATTTGTGGGTTGATGTGTTTCTTCATCCATCCAATCATGTGATCGAATGAACGATTCTCCATCACCAAAACCACTACGGTTTTGATGGGTTGCTGCTGGAAAGTGGGTTGAGGAAGCCATGAGAGCGTAAGAAAAAGCAGGAAAATGAGGGGCAGATGAACTTGCACTATGCTTCGCCGTCCTCTCATTGTTATCGAAGATAACTACTCTGAGAATCTAAAAGAGCACTCAAGAATGGGGAAATCCTCTGGTTTTGATTTTTAAAAGCGGAGAGAGAAGAAGAGGAAGAAGAAGAAGATTCTTTCAGAAGCAGTGCAATCAAAGTAAAGAATCAAAGCCAAAATTTTGAAAAATGGGTTGTCTGCCATTGTTGGTGTTTAAAAGTTCTATTCTTTTGTGTCGCATTAGCAGTAACAGTTTTGAAAACTTTTAAATGAATATAAAATGTTGATCCAAATCAGTAAATTCATCGAACTTATTTGGAGAATACTGATTTATTGGTTTCTAAAATGAATTACAGAAACTGGTGAAGGCGTTCACGGACTGAGTAAGTTAGTGGATGTTTACGTTATCCCCAGTTGAATTAATGTTCGAGAAATCATTCTCTTAATCTCTTAACCTAACACACGTAAATGATGGAGCAATAAAGGAGGCAAAAGCTAAATGAGTGGAGATTTAAGTTTGTTAATTTTTCCTACCCACTTACTTCTTTTTCATTTCACAACATTATTGTATTGCACCCACTTCCGACCCAATTTGACTCACTTTGGTTTGGAAAGTTGAGGTTCTTTCTTTTTCCATTAGGCTTCCTTTGATTTAACTTCTTTAAAATTGTTCCCATCACTCCAAAAACCTACGCCGTTTATGAGTTTGGCTTATTAAGGCTTCACTGGCTCTACATTTGGTCCACACTTTCAAACAAATGTTGGTGTGCCTCTTTTGCCTTAATTTCACTTTACAGAAATCAGAAAGCAGGGTAATTGGCTCACTTTGGTGGCAAATTTTGTCGCATTTTACAGCTAAAAGAAACACACACAACACAATAATTATGTGCTACGCATGTGAACCATAGCACAGTCTTCGCTTTTGGATGTGCAAAACCACAAATTTATAGTGCCAACGTGTGAACGAGAGACTCCATAACCTAAATTCTTTTTTTAAAAAAAGACATGCAAGTACTAAAGATATTATATAATAATCAGCTTATTGCGAATCCTTTCACAAATACCAATAAAAGTTTTAGAAAAAGAAAAGAACTTTACATATTACCAACCAGGACCCATAATGGGTTCATGGCAGTTATTTTTGTCAACTGCAATTAACAGTAATTTTTATAAAAATACGGAACTGGACGCTTGACCCAGCCCTTGGTTAGAAGTTAGTTAGAGAAGATCTCATTCACAAATTTGTTTTACCCAAGACAGGAAAAGGTTAAAAAGTAGTATGAAATAGAGGACCCTTGACAGTTCGCACCAAGCACCGACTAAAGCAATCGTGGTCTTCAGCCACGCACGGATGGCTGAATTGGCCCACCACCCCAAGTCCAAGTGCGTATGGACATTCACCATTATCTCTCTTCTTATTTGTTCCCTTTGTTTTGTGCACTACTCTTAACAATCACATAGAAAATGAAGCAAGCAGTAGACAGTTCAGAAGTGAAGAAAGTTGATTCACATACACACAACACAATCCACGAATTCATGGAGCTGCAAAACCTTCAGAAACGTAAACACAATGTCAATTCTCGGAATGCATTTCTTTCATTCAGCAAATCAACAATCCCAAAATTATTCAACTTTTCTTCATAAATATGACTATTTCTCAAACAAAACAGATTATAAGCACAAGCACCGATGCTCTTCCGACCAGCGGTTCCAATAGGGGCCCCCAATTTCAGAGGTTACTCGGACTAAAGTCGGTGATATAACAACATGCGTATGTGACTTCATTAAATTAATTACCAGATCTTCTCAAGTATGCTAACACGCCTAATCCGGCAACAAGGGCGGCTCCAGCTGCAACTGCACTGTACGCCGACGCCCATGCGTCTGATTGAGCATAATCCAAATTTCCCGCACCAGAACTCCCTTTACGACCACGACTTCCCGGGTATTCTAAATGCAATCTCAGACCCTGCGCAAAACCACCATGTTCTTTTCTTCTTCAGTTTCCATTTCTTTACAAGGTTCAATCGTCGTTCACAAATAATGATAATGTCCAAATACGGTACCTTCCACCCAGCCAACCTTGCGTGTTCGACAGCTGCTACAAGGTCACTGTCTGATGCAAGAACAACTTTGTCGCGATCTTCATCTTCGTACTACAAAATTTGGGCCATCAATTAGTTCCCCATATTTCTATTATGGAAACTCAATAGTATCAAGACAAATAAAGAGACCAGAAATATCAGTCCTTTTTTACCAAAATCTGAGGCAATTTGTTGCGGTCAATATCATCACCGACTCTCTGAAGGATTGCTGTTATAACATCTGTTAAACTCCGAGTATCTTGTCTCGGATTGAACAATAAAGAGGTCCGGTGAGCATATTAAAGGCAGATTAATGTCAAAATTAACTAAAAACGTGAAATAGAAAGTCGCTAGGAAAATACGAAAGAAAAAGAGGGAACAAGATTGTTCCAGCCCTTATTGCTCCAAGGAAAAAATATTAAGCCATCCATCATGGTTTTACCAATCAAAGTTGACTGCTAAGAAAACAAACAAATACTGTTATCTTATTTAAGATTTGGGAACAATTTACTTTTTGGTACAATAAATGAAAAGGAAGGAACAAGGTTGTTCCAGCCGTTATCACTCCAAGGAAAGCATTTTCAGCCATCCATCGTGGTTTGATCATTCAAAGTTGACTACTAAGAAAAGAAAAATAATGTAACCTTATTTAAGAATTCCAGAACAAACGTCTTTTTTTGTACAACAAATGTAGAGTATGAAGTTTTAAATCTTTGATCTCAAGAGAAGTAGATGTCAACTACCAATGAGCTAAGCCCGTGTTGGCAAATTTGGGAATAGTCAAATGCCACAAAGAGACATGAACAAAACATCCATAACTTGCACGACATCTGTCCTAATATTCTATTAACTATAATCGATAGAACATGAAACATACCACAAGAAAATCGATGCATCCGGCCCTTCCTATCTTCAAGTTTGAAAGAAAAAGTATTTGGCATTCCAGATGACGGAAAGGTTAGGGTTCTTCCAGCCTCCGTTCCATCAGAAGCCAATTTCAATGAACCTTCACTGAGATGTCACACTAACATGTGAGATTAAAAAATAACTAAACTGCAAAAATATAATTTATAATTATTTGACAAGCACAACCTACGCATTTCATCATCGTCGTCATGGGGCGATAAAGCCATGGCAGAATCCCAAAATTTCTGCATCATAGAACTTGCAGCCTCATTGGTAACTCCAGATGAATTTCCAACCTAATCATGTAGTAACGCCAAGGTCACATAAATATTCACAATCATAAATTATAGAGCTCCAAGAAATTTAAGCACGTTGTTCAAAGTGAAATCATCCCGATCAACAATTTTTTTGCTCATCCCTAAAAAACTGCACCGCATCAGTGTTCAATTTGTTAAACATCAAACAGATTGCTGACAGGGTCTTAACACTCGACTACTTGGTTAAATCCTAGAGCCTATAACATATTTACCAACACGTTGAACCCAGGTTGTAAATCAGAAAATTTGAAGTAAGAAACGTAGCTCTCATACTTCAAAGATTGCAAACATAAGAAAATTGGAGGGGGAATGTTGATGAATTTAATTGATGAAGCTTAAACAGGAAGAGAACAACAAACACTGAAGGAGTAACAAAAATAAAACTGTTTAAATACAAACATAATATATGGACAGGCTAAAGGACAGAATGGAAGGTGCAAAAGAAATATATAATGTATTGAGTTTTTGCATATGAGTCTTATCCAAAAAAAAAAAAAAAACAAGAAAAAGGTTTCTGCATATATGAGAGCAACTCTTATTGCTACATAATATAGAAACATTTCTCAATGAAGGGCATCAAAAGGTCTAATGTGTCTCCATACCAACTTAACCATTCAAACTACACTGCTCGATGGTAGATTATCATTTTCCCTTCCGAAAATAGCACACCATTAATTTAAAATTTTAGATCTTCCCAAGTAAAATACAATTAAGAATCTGGAAATCACACTTCCAATAATAATGTTAATAGCCATTTGAAGTAACATAGCTAAAACACAGTATACCATTGTGTTCTTATGCTTATTTTTGCAAACTCAATAAGAGTGAACAGTATTGACAAACATAAGGTTCCATAAATTAATGGGCTCACCGTAGCAACGGCAGCATGGGTGATATGTATTACATCAACTACAGCAACAACACGTCCGTCTGCAGCCAAATGCATCAATATCAGAAGTTAAGATGATAGACATACGTTCAAGATGAAACCTTTTCTTGTTCCCAAGACTTTGAATACCATAGCGTTACCTCTATCCATCACTGGAAGATGCAAGAATTTTCCGTCATGCATAGTGTGCAGTGCGTCAACTATTGGTGTATCAATTGACGCACATTCCGGATTTGGAGTCATGACCTTTAACATGAAACAAAGAGAGGTGATATTCAGTTCTGAAGAATACAAATCTCCCATACTCCAAGAGATTGAAACAAATTTTACAAGATAAGAGTAGTCGTTTATATCTATCATTCTTGCAATTTTTGTTGTATTTATCTCTGCCCCCAACCCCAATCCAAACCAGCACACCCTTTCCATTTAACCAACAGAACTGTACAAAAGAGGAAGGGAGATACACTATCCTTTATAATCCATGCAAGCTGAAAGAAATTACCTTCTCTACAAGTGTGGATTCTGGTGGAAGATTTTGTGCTATTAATCGCATCAAAATATCTTTCGACCTGCAAGACAAAATATCAGCATGTGCAAAATGGTATGCCAATATAAAATCCCAAGTTTAGAAGAATTATGATGGTACTCACGTGAGAATTCCTTGTGGCTTGTTATCAACTGTAACAACTGCAGAACTCACTCGAAGTTCAAGCATCTTTTTCGTAGCCACCAAAACTGTTTCTGTGGGTGGAACTGTAACAATCCTGGAGATAGAACAACAATAAAAAAATGCAAACCAGATGACATTAAACATTAAATATCTTCACGCAAGAAAAGTATTACCTACTTTAGATTCTCT